CCCGCCCTCGCCGCCGCCGCCCATCGCATTTCAATAAACCACCTTCACATCACTTTTCTGCACAAGGAAAATTAGTTTATCATTTGTTGACAACCAAACTCGCTCCGTCCCACTTTATTTTCGGCGGCATCCGCGTGAATTTCACGGGAAGCCGCGCCTGTCCAACACGCGGGCGTCCGCTTATCTTATTTTTATTACCGTCGAGACACTGTGGGGCTTAATTTCGCCGCGATAAAACCGAGTCGGATTAACAACTCACCGCGACGGTTCGCGACGCTTCGAGTTGGCCCGGGGCTTCCGCACAAACCGGGACCCACAAAGCCGGTGATAAGGAGAGTTAGAGCCACCCAAACTGACGCAAACTTATTGTAGGTATTGAAAGTGGTGTTAGTCATACCCGGGTAGCGCGGAGCGCAGGGCGGGCCCGCACCAGGCGGGCAGCAGCGCAGGGTACCAGGGCGGCACCAGCCCGGGCAGCCCCGGGTACAGCGCGAGCAGGGAGGGCGGCAGCCCGGAGGCCAGCCCCGACGCCAGCCCCGACGCTAGTCCGGAGGGGAGGCCGCCGCCGAGGCCGCCGCCCCGCGGCATGTGCCGGGGCTTTGCGCTGGTCTCGGACATCCTGTGGCGTCCGGACGACGTCCTGGTGGAGTGCTTGTCCAGCTTCAGGCTGGCGGCGCACTCACTCACTGACACAAAACTCGTTCACGAGCCGCGGCTCTCTCTCACTCTCTGTTTCACACAGAACACACTGGGGTCACACCGCTGTTGATGATGCACTACAACACACACGCGTCTTCATCCTGGCGGCGTCATCGCCGTGGTGCCGAGTCCCGGTGACGACACGCGGTCCGCATATCCAGGGCGGGAGGGCGGCTAGGGTCGGAGCGTCGCGTTGCGCGGCGTCGCGGCGCGGTCGGGTGCGCGTCTGTGCTCCTGGGCCCGCCCCGCCTGCGGCCGCCAGCGCGCTCTCGAACGCTACTCCAGGACACACCCTCCTTCCCTCCCCTCCTCTTCTCCTCCTCCTCCCGCGCCGTGCCGCGCCCCCTCGAAACACTCTCCAACACCTCCTCTCGACGGCCCCCTCTTCTATCTCTTTACCTTTCTCATTCACTAGTCTCTCTCGTTCTCTCTCTCTCTCTCTCTTCCCCTTCGCGACAAGCTGTTGTGCTCAGCGCGCTCGCTGGCCTGTTCCAACCCCCGCGCGCC